GACTTCTTGTTAGGATCTTGGGGTTAAGCCAAATCTGAGCGATCCACCTATAGTTCTTGAGCAATCATCCATGTCCGAAATCCAAACAGTGCTACAACCCTCAAGCCTTGTAACACACTAAATCCTGAGAACCTAAACCCTGAAGGCCTGAAGGCTTAAGCACTAGAACCTAAACCCTGAAGCCTTAAGTACTACACCCAAAACCTTACAAACTCCGTATCCCTAAACCCGTGAAGCCCTGAAGTGCTGAGCTTCGCTGTGGAGGGGAGACACGGGCTTCAGGCGGCCTCCTGAGAACTTCTCAAACGAAGGGACCCCCAAAAAACGGGAATAGGGTTTAGGGTTTAGGGTTTTAGGGCTTTAGGGCTTTAGGGTTTAGGGTTTTGGGTTTTGGGTTTAGGGTTTACAAGCCCCAGGTAGCTCCGTCTTGGTAGAGCTCACTGGAAGGATGTGACCCAAGACCCGAAACCACAAGCATTGCTTGATTAAGCCGTATAAACCTTAAGCTTGAGCAAGCCGAGTGCCGCAACAATCGAACCACTACGTGCACAAAGTTTAGAAGGTACCATGAATACGGCCGCCAAGACCTCCCCCACACTTTCCAGTGCCTTTCAAGGCTGCAAGTAAAGGATTCCTTCCAGCTTTGCAGCCCTCGACTCAGTGGGAAACCTTCAACCCGAAAGCCTAAGCCTGAAACTCCAAACCATGAAACCCCCAGGAATCCGAAAAGGGGAACCCTTCGTTCGAGAAGATCCCGCTTTAGAAACTGTATCTGCAGGCTGCGGGCCAGCCGAGACGACCGGCAACTCGTTTGGGGGTTCAGTGGGTCTAGAAGGGATGTAGTAGGTTTACAGATTAGGATTCGGGCTCAAGATTCCGGGTTTGAGGTTGAGGGCTTTAAATTTAAGGCTGAGAGTGCATTGTCCAGGGGTTACGGTTTACAAGGCTTTGAGACTCTACGACAAACTTGGCTCTAGAACCACAAAACATATACACTTTAAATCCCAAACCCAAGACTGCAACAAGACGTCTATGCAACCCTCTCCAACTGCAACAACAGGGGAGTCTTGGGCTGAAGAAGCCACTAAGACCCGATCTACCTGGCACTCTGTAAGGTTCCCCCACAGCTCAGGCGGTTTAGGGTTTAGGGTTTTAGGGTGTTCAGGGGGATAATCTCGTCTCAGAGCAAGCCGGCAGGGCAAGCGTTCAAGCAATTCCGCGCTTTGACCATCCCCAAGCCACAGGCCAGGTTTTGTTAGGGGTTTAGGGTTTAGGGGTTTAGGGCACTCTATATTCCAGCGTCTTTCCTGGAGATGTACCTGGAACAGCTCCTAGGTCCGGAAAAAGAGGCCCAGTGCGGAAGATAAGGCCCTCAGCTGCCACCGAGCTTGTGGATCAAAAACGTCACCATGGATTTCGATGCCTCGAAATTTTGAAGTGGGAGGGTTTTTGGAAAGGTTGAGGGTGAGGGCTTTTAAGGTTTGTTTTTTGGAGCTTTCAGAAATTCAGCCCCTACTGGTGGTTGGCTCATGTTTGTTTCCCAAGTGGCGAAGACCAAGCCGTGAACTTCCCTAAACCCTAAACCCTAAACCCCTAAACCCTAAACCCTAAACCCCTAAACCCTAAACCGCTAGACCCTAAACCCCTAAACCCTAAACCCCAACAACATCTTCAGCTCCGAGCTTGTTCTGGACTGTGCAGTGAAGTGCTTGGTGTGGGCTTTCGAAGTCATAACTCATACAAGCAAGCTTCTGTTACTTACTCATGGAAGCCCTTCTTACGGTCATCAATCATAGCTTCCGCTCCTCAGTGGGGATGCTTGTGTCATTTCACGAACACATCCACCGAGTAGCTGCATTGCTTCTTCTGGCTAGGGCCATCGGGCAGAAACAAGAACAACTCTCAGACTGAATTCCTTGAACGTCCCGAGACGCTAAACGCCTGAAGCGTCGTTTTCGAAACCGAAACGCCCAAAGCCCTGAAAGCCACCACGGACATTCCCGAAGCCACGGGTCTAGCACTAAAGGCCCAGGCCCTGAACTCCCAAAGCCCTTGATCCACTAAGCTCTTAGATTCCCCGGAAGTAATAGCTCCGCACAGAAAGCCTGTAACAAAAGCGCTCTCCCTAGATATCAATTCGGGAATCTAAACTTCAGCTGAAGGATGTTGGAGTTTTTGGAGGGAACTCGGAAGGCCCCCGACATTTTGCACACGGCTGCTCTCCAGGAAGAGCTGCGCAGGGGGGCGGCGGCTGGCTTGGGGCTTTGATGCGGCAAGCCCTCTTTCGGTTTGCTCTTTTCCTCGCAGGGTCTAGGGTTCAGGGATTGCGCAGTTTGTGTTCAGTGTTCAGGGGTTTTCTACCGTTGAATTGGGGATCTTGGCTCAGGAAATGGTGGCTTAAGGCTTAGGGGGTGGCCTGCTTTTGGGGATTGGAAGGTAGACTGATGAGACTTAAGCTTTGAGGGTTTACGGTTTCGACTTTCAAAACTATCGGCAACCATCGTGTCACAAACCCCGTAAGGCCTACGGACCCAAACTACGGTTTGGCGCAGCGTCTCCTATCCCAAGTTTCAGGAAACCTGAAGACCCTAAGCCTCAATCCTGAACCCTGTAGACCCGGCTATTGGTAATCCAAGAGAAGTCTGCTTTCACTTTCTGACTAGTCTGACTAGTCTTAAATTTTGTTGGGGAATAGGTTTCAGACTTCGCGATATAAGGTTTGGAGTGGAGTTCGGACTCCAAATTTCTTGAGTTTCGTCGATACAACGATACCTCGTAGCCTATACCGACATGTTCTGAAACGAGATGTTCTCAGTATTGCGTACTGCGAAGCTCAGGATGAACACTCGAAATCTCTTGTGGCCTAAGCGATGCTCTGGTTATCTCTCGTTCCCGCAACGTAGCCGAAACATATTGCCGGAGGGTCTGCGCAATCCGGTTGCAGAGAGCACCCACTTTTTGGGTGTCCGCAGCGATGGAAAGCCCCCACAAAACCTCCACTCCCAACACCCCTATACCTTTTCCTGTTGGACCCCAGGCCCTCAACCTCTACGATGGGCCCGCAATCCTGCAGACCTGAGGCCAAACACGACGTCTTCAAGGCCCTGGGTTCGGTCTCTGGCTTTTGGACTTTGTGGCCACGGTGGTGTTCCCGGCTTCCGCACAAATCGCATCATTCTCCCGGCCGCTTTTCCGCATCGACCCCTTTTGCAGCAGGCTGGGCGCAATGGGTTCAAGTCACAATGCGTCGGTGGAACTTTACCCTAAAAGCCTGAATCCTACAAGGGCCTCAGGCTTGTGCGAGATATTTGGTGGGTATCAGCCTCCGGCTACAGCTCGGGGGTTTACGGGTTGAGCCTTCAGCACTTAGGACCAGGGGCCATAGCTTTTTTGAGAGTACAGGTTCCCGAAACTCTAAACCCGCTACCTTAGCACCAGACTGATGCCTTACACCTTAAGCCCAAACCCCGAAACCAACTATGTGTTTTGGGATTGTCTTAGTTGGGATCTTTACAGACCGTCCGGTTTCACGAGCTCACCCCGACGCTGTGCCCCTTCAACTTCAAGATCTTCGCCTGGCGGGTTCAGGGCTTCAGGGTTACCTAAACCCCAAATAACCAACCTTTTTAAGGACTGATATACAGAAATCATAGTAAGGAGCCCCCAAAAAAGGCAGGTTCTTTGGGGTCCAGGTATGGTTTCGGACCCAGGGTTAGACCGTCGGGCTTAGGGTTTTGGCTTTCTGCTAGGGTTTTGCGAAGCTTCGTGGTGACCAGGTGAAGGCATTCTGGGCAGTGCTTCTTTGCCAGACTGACGGAAGCCTAGGGGTCTTTAGGGTTTAGGGTTTTCGACTGGGGTTTAGGGTTTAGGCTTTGCCCACAAAGCGCTTGTCGGGTTACTTCCGTATTAGGGCATTAGGGCATACCATAACACATCCACACACAAAACCAGATTATGCCCCGATAAAAGTTTGGTGCACACAATTCATTCCACACCTTCAGGTCCTAAGATTTAGCGCGGGACATCCGCTTATTTACCCTGCTCCTGGCTCTGAGAGTCAACCTGGAGAGGCTACCCGAAAGCCGTAGCTTCACTTTGGCTGCAGGACCACGGGGATGTACTGGTACTGGTATTAGGCTTCTGGCCTATGGGAGGCCGGTGCTTGCCAAGTTGACCACCTAGAGCGGTAGCAATCGGGAGTTCGTCTGTGAAGATGCCCCGGCATGGTTGCGGAAGCCCGATCGTCCAAGTTGTGATTGTGACCTCAGTAAGCCCACACTACGATTTGCAGGTTATCTCAAAGACCCTCTGAAGCATGCTTGTTAAAACCCCCCGAACAACTTCCAAGAGATCAACAGTCAATAGAAGAACCCAGCCGGAATCCCAACAAACCAAGGGGACCTCAGAGTCGGTCCTTGGGTTGATAGTGTAGTGCCACATCCAACGTAAGGGGTGAAGGATTGAGGCTGTCAAACGGCTGTGAAATCATACCCCGCTACGGGCTCCGAAGCAATCACGGTACAGCTCACCAGCCCCAGAAAGCCAGGTCCCTTTCTCATTGAATTCAGCAAGGACAAGAGACAACGCAATCCTTGCGAGAATGACATCAGCGTCAGCCGCGAAAATCAAAACGAAAGCACAACTTATACCATTGGTAACTATGATACTGAGTTGACCATTTACCGTAACACCACCGTGACAATCGCGAAGCAACCATGTTAATGTTAAAAAGTAGAAACACTCAAAAAGAGTCCAAACAGAACGCAAAGAAAAATACTAAAGTCAACAGCAGCTCATAGCAGAGCACCCTCAACCCCAAACCGTACACCCCTCATGGTAGTCTTTTCTGAAACCCTAAACCCTAAACCCCATCAACCCCTAAACCCTAAACCCCAAAACCCTCAACCCTCAACCCTAACCCTAAACCCTAACCTAACCCCCATAAACCCCATAAACCCCTAAAGCCGTAACCCCGCAGTTGACAGCAAGCTCTGCCGAGCCTCCATGGACTGGATGCCTCTTTGGATCTGCTCGGTGCATGCCTGGCTGGGGACTTAAAAATGGTTTTTAGTGTGCTTTAAGGAGGGCATCTCAGGCGTTGCTTTAGGGTCGTTTTAGGGGTGTTTTGAGGAATTTGTATTGAGGGCTATTTTATTTCAGCAACGTTTTAGTTAGGGGTGTATTGCGGCTTTGTTATTCAGGGCTAGTTAAGCAAGAGCTCACCTAAAATGTGATGAAAAGGAGAGACTCCCCATGGGAGGCTTTGCGGAGTGTAGGGCCTAAGGAGCATAGAACACTGAACCCACCGGAGCTTCATCCGATCAACACTATTTCTGTACATTCCACCAAAAAAACTATCGACTGAGCCTAGGGTCTTCATCCTACAGCTTCCACAAGGGCTTATTGCCTTTTGGGTTTTGGGCTTTATGGTTTTAGGGTTCAGGGTTGCCTATACAGCTGCAGAGCCCAAGCCTTCTAACGACTGCCGAGAAACTCAATTAGGCTAAGGTATCCAAATCTCAAGACTCGGTCAACGAGTCAAACAATCTTTCAGCCAAAACAGTGAACCAACCTATCTGCATAAGTCTGAAAGGTGCGTGCATGAAATTTTCTGTATTAAATATAAACTGGTTTCCACACGGTGCATACGTGCACATGTATACCTATACACCATGTGTCTACACAGTGCCCATGTGATGTACGTGCACGCGTATAGATGTATACCCGTGTGTGTGTGTGTACATCAGTGATCAGCCAGTTAGTCAGTGAGTCAGTCTGTGTCTCTGTCAATCTAGCTATCAAACTATCAACCTACCGTTCGATGAATCCATCAACCAATCGATCTATTTGCATATCAACGCCGAAATCGGCGTATTCACATGTATTTTTGTGGATGAATGTGCATGTACATGCAAATCTATATGTATATGTTTAGGTCACAGGATAGGTATAGGTACAGCCACAGGCATAGGTATAGGTCAGGTATGAAAATGACTGAATGTGAATATAGGTCCAGGTGTAGGTCCAGGTCTACGTCTATGTCCATGCCTATATCCCTGTTGTTGTTTATGTGTCTGTAGATGTTTATGTTTATGTACATACTATTTATGTACATGTACATGTGTCTCTGCAATGCGTAAGTTGATGTCAGACGCATTTACACAGCCGGCCCTGACCATTTGGGACGAGTGCACCAAAACTAGTACTAGCCTTCAACATATACAAGTCGCAAACACCAACACCGGCCGTAAACCTGTAGAAAACATTTATTGTGAAGCCAAAACCTTCCCCGAACCCCGAATATCGCAGAAGAGATCGGAAGCCCTGAAACCCTTTTGCCGCAAGCCTTGGACGACTCCTTCATGTCACTGGCGGCCTTTGGGATAACAAAAATAGGCTCGCGTAACACAGAAGGGGGCCTGAATTGGAGCAGTGTTTCTACCAGGAAGGGGTCTGTACGGGCTGGAAGTAGAAGGGGGTGGAGGGCAACAGCCCGAAAAGGCCTAGAGGCCGTTTGGGGGTTTGAAGGTGCTCAGCAACTACAGTGTAGGGTCCTTACAGGTAATGATTAAGCTGTGCATTTTAATTTTCAGGTCCAGATTCACGGTTTAGGAATCACTGTTGCAATGCCTGGGAATTACGATTCAGAGCAAGCAATTTAAGGAATTAAGGTTTGTGCCTAATGCATAGCCTCGTCCTTGAGCCCTAGGCACCCGATGAACCCCTAAGCCCGTCGTTTCCAACTCCAACAAATTAAAAGAACCCTTAGCCCTTAGCTTATTCTCAACCTTGATACCTAAAGCCCTCTGCAGAAGTTCGGTGTCTTCGCCTTTGCAGCTGCCCTGAGCGTATCCGAAGCACTGGCGCAGCGAGCCTGTGCACCGTGGACTTGGGTCTCGGGCTTTGGGGATGGAAGTTGGGCTACCAAGGCCTCGGTCAAGATCTAGAGGGTTGCGATTTAGGGGCTTTAGGAGTTTTAGGGGTTTATGCAAGACGTCTGCGGACCATCCAGGCGAGAAGCACGCCAAGATGCTTAACAAGGCGACATACAATGTTAATTACAAATTCACGCATTGCGCCGTTTGCGCATTGCTCTTGTCAACTTGGTATAGCAATTCCAGACCGCAACAGGACTACGCAATGGAACAGGGCAATGCAGTGCCTGTACTGGTGCACATATCATAGCCCGAGTAACGGCGGGGTAATCCACACCATGAAAAACCTTATGAAATAGCTCATGTGGCGGTAGCCGGATATCCCTCGGCACAACACACGTTGAAGCCACTGGCACTGTACACGCAAAAAGTTGTAGAGTCTGACGTCGCTCGATCTTAATTTCAAGTTCAAGCCGTTTACATACGTCTTTAAA